GTAACTCCATATACTCACAAGACTTTGTGTCGAAGCTATCAAATCCATATAGGTTTTCAATGTGGTAAGGATTCAAAATTTACTCAAGCCCTAATGCAATGTATATCTCTACATACATGATGTCGCGAGAATTTCCTTTAACCACCAACCCATGACGAATGTTGAAACCTTCCATCATTGCCTTTATCAACAAAGGGGTGTGGTGGTTAGGCACGAAATTTATTAACTCCCGCCTTAAAAAGACATGAGAAATCTACCCTCTTTCGATATTTTCCCCTACTTCTTTGTTTTTAATGGTTTCCTCTTCCTACATCCCCTTAAAAGAGTAGCATATCGCTTCTTCTGATCAGGGAAGACCCCTCAAAATGACACAAATGATTGGTACTAGATCTCTTTTTTCTATTTCACCGGAGCATTTATGGGTAAATCATCCCAAGATATGAAAATTTGTCTCATGACGCGGGCCACGATGTTGATGTCCCACTTGTTGAATATTTCGATAGAAAGTGAAAGTATCAAAGAGAGAAGTATCATTATCCTTTTTCTACAACCATGGGCTTTCTATGTGGTCGCCTTGTTTTCGAATCTCCCTGGCTTGGGATTAAGGTACCTCTCGAAGAGCTCCTAAGAGAATCATCCACATTTCTTTTACACTATAAATCTATGATCGAAGCATCGACGAAATATTCTATTAAATTGAAAAGGAGTGGAAATGTTAAAGAGTGTTTCCTATAAGGGGGCAATTTCTCTATCCATCACAAAATGTTATGTAGTATTAGGGGACAACTTCTCTACCCATCACAAAATGTTAGATAGCATATTTAATTATTTATTCAATAGTTTTTTGTTATTTTCAAAGCATTTTACATTAAGGGCAACCTTACCCAACTTTTTGAATTGTGTAAATAAAAATTCATCTTCCTATAAAAGAAGCCAATTGATCAAGAGCGAGCCTTTATGATTCACAACGAGGTGAGAATTGAGATATAATGGTGAGTTTTATTGAAGATTGGTGAGAATTGAGATATAATGGTGAGTTTTATTGAAGATTTGTGAGAATTGAGATATAATGGTGAGTTTTATTGAAGATTTAGATGTTCGTTCATTCATTTTGGTCTGGCGACGAATGGGGGTACCTTGAAACACTATGGTACATAAGTCACTGATGGTTGAAAGTGAGAAATTTTAGAGTTAGAATAGTGTGCATCGAAGGAGATTCAATTGATTTGAGACAAAATTTTGTGTATTGAAAATTCAACATTTTTCTATGTTTTGTTTTCCTTACACTAAAAAAGAGTTTGGAAATTTAAATTGAAAGAAAAGAAGAAAGAGTGAGAAAGTTAAAGTTAATGAAATAAAGTCTCATGTTACTTTGTGATTGATTATCTATAACTATATATAAAGGGGATACAAGTTTTTGGTGTGGCTTATTTTTGTTCCAAAATTACCCTTATTTAATTGTAATATTTCCATAATTCTCTCTGCAGTTTGTTTTAATTACAACCATGTGTGAGCAAGAATCTCAACCGCTCAACCAAAACAAAAACTGCCGTATACAGACATTTAAGTGTGAAACAACTGCTCTTCATTTCAATAGCAAAACAAAAGTAATTACAAAACTTAGTAGAGCATCCTGAATAACAATGGAGTAGACTCTTATCGTTTTTTCTTCTTTTTTTTTAATCTACATATTATCCTTTACTTTCTCCATCCCTCTAATCTATTTTTTCATGTTTTCACCTTTTAATTTTCTTTTAGATATGTTCTTAAACATGATAGGGTCAAAATATATAAATCAATTAATATTATCACTTTTGTATATGTTCATGTATGTTTTATTGGTTTATTCAATTTAGTTTAATTTTGTTTTGTTCTAATGTGTAGTTTTTGATTTTAGTGTCTGAGTAAAAATAAATTGCTCTAACTTTACAGGTTTTGATGAGATTGTCATTTTTATGTGACTAATAATTTAAGAATCATATATATATTCATCATTTTAGTGTTAATTTAGGAATCATATATATTTTCACCATTTTAGTGTTAATTTAGGAAATCATATATATTTTCACTATTTTAGTGTTAATTTAAGAATCATACATATTTTAACCGTTTTCACAATTACTCGGTTTCTTTCTTTGTCAATCTCTATCTTTTCTCCTTCTGCATTTTTCTTTCAGTTTTCACAATTACTCAGTGTCAATCTCTGTTTTGGTTAGTTTTATGCATTTCCATTTTGTAGGATAAGCGGATAATGTCACAATAAAACCATGGCAAAGATCAAAAAGATTGATGGTTAATTTTTGGACATGAGTGAAGGTGATCTTTGTTTTGGTGAACATGGTAATATATTTTGATATGTTAGCATGCATTAAATAGTATTAGAATTGACCATTAAAATCTTTTTATGCAATTGAATGCATTTTTCTAATATTTTTTTTAAAATTTTCCTTATAAATTGTAACTGCTTCTAACATTCTTAACTGTTGAAACTTAGACTACATAACTCTACCATTTCAGGTGCACGACATTTGTTTTCATGTCTTTCATTTCCAAACCCATGATAATAGTAACTTAATGCCACTGTAAATCATTTTTGGATGTTTGGATGTTATATATATTTTTTCAATTTCACATCAACGGAAGGCATAGATTATATATTCTGCATTGTTCAAATTATTTATGTTTTCCTTCTCCACACATGTAAGTCATGTTTGTTTATCTATAGATTAGGTGTGGTCTGTGTCAATTTGGATGCTATATTCACCGAAGTATGATATGAGAACTAACCATTTACATTGATGTCTATGAGGTGAATTAAATTTAATTGAATTGCGTTGCAGAGAATAGTTTTGATTTGATATTACAGGAAGTGGTTGAAGAAGAAAATTTATGAGAAATCATCTTCTGATGATATATCGGTTTTCGATGAATTATTTTTGCAATGATAGTTCATGGATACCTAATTTAACCACAATACCACTGGGAAAATGTAAAAAAAATGTAATATAGAGATAGTTGATTATATTTGTTGCATTAAATTATGTGTCTACAATATACACAAAATAAAAGGAGTTGAAAAAAGAAAGTATGCTTTTGTTATCCTTAATCGTAGTTATTAAGGAAAAAGGTAAGTTTTTGCTTGCTACCCTTAACAATAGTAGTAGTTGCACTGACTTCTTTCTTTTTTATTCTCTAAATTATTCTTAAATAAATTTGTTGAATAAAAAATAAGCAATAAGTATGTTTTGTATTATATATAAAAAAAACAAAGGTAAATCATCTAAGAGAGCGAAAACTTAGAAAATGTTAGAAACTTTCTTATTCTTACTCAGTAGACAATAATATTTTTATAGTTTAATTATCATCAGTTGTCTTTATGGTATATTGTTATTAGTTTTTAAAACTTCTATTATTCTTATTGTACTTTTTATTCTATTAATTATTATTACTTTGGTTTTTTAAATTCTTTTCTATTCCCTTCTTATTTCCTTTTTTTCCTGAATTTTTAATATAGTTTAATCCTTTTTTTTCTTTATATGTTGTGAAGAAGTTGTTTATATTGTTGAATTCAATACTTTTTTTTTACCCTCTATCTATTATTTTTTTTAAAAACTTTTTTACTATTGTGTATTTCAATTCTTTTGTTTTGTCTTTTTTGTTAATTATATATTTTTATAGTTTATACAATAATGAGAAAGAGAGGGAAATTTTCAGATTCTTTAGGAATTTAAGAATTGTGATGCAATTTTCATGAAGTTGAATTTAAAATTTGTGATTTCCTTTCATTTATGAGATTAAAATTAGTTTAATTGTGTTAGAATAGAAAAAGAAGTTTAAGATATGAGGTGATCATTAGTACAAAATAATAACCATCATCATATAATAAAGATTAAAAAATAAGTCATTTATGTGTTAGTCATAACTACAAAATAATGACAATGATGCATTGTAGTAATAGTTTTTTTTATAACAATCCTTTTTTTTTCTTTAACAATTATATTAAAGTTTTTATTAACAAGATTGAAATAGTATAAAGATAAAGACCAGAATTTTTTAACCAAATCATCCTTCACTAAAGATTGAAATAGTATATTTAATAGTGTATTGATAAAAGGATGTATGAATAATTAATTCAAATCTTTACAAGATAAAAAAATATTATATTACACTAATTACTATTAATTTCACTATTTTTTTTCTCTAAAAAAAATCTAATATGAGAGTCTTACATTTTTTATTTAATATGCAAAACAATGGCAGAAACTTCTTAAAATAAAGATTTAATGTTCGGTCTTCCTATTAAAGAACGTTATTGATTACACAGTATAAATAGTACTTTGTATTATTCGGTTATTTAATATAATTTAGAATAACTTTGTTTATCATTTTCAAAATGTAATAATATTATTAGCATGTAGCATTAATATATAATTAATTCACTAAAGTATTTTTAGTATATATACATTTATCATTCTGATTTTAAGACTGCTTGAGGGTATTTAAAAACATTATTTTTAATTAATCTAAAGTATGATAAAAATTTCATACAAAATATATACACGTTTATTTTCCTATTCTGTGTGCATTAAAAAAATTTAAAAAAGCGGACAGACGGACACTTCCCGTGCCCGTCTGAATGCTAGTAAATGATAATAGAAAAAATTGAGACATTAACTATTTTTTTTTTCACTTTTGTTAATGTAAATTAATGTAATAATGAATTACTATTTAATAAGTTGTCATCAATATTGTTAATGTTGTCTGGTTCACCTGAAATCAATCAAGATTCAACATAAAAAAATGGTTGGAAAACTGTCATTAACATGATATTGTTATTAAATTTCCCAACTAAATGTAGAATATCAAAAAGGGGGCTTGAACCAAATAGTTTCTATTACAACAAATCACTTGCAAGAGTTCCACGAACATGTGTAGTTTCATGCACTCCTAACACATGTAAGAGAAGCACAGGCACTGTATAAAAACAGATAAGAAAGATGTTAAATAGATTTTGAAAGTTGATTATGATTACTGCTAGCAACATCTGGTTCCTGTTTTGGCCGACGGCCCTTATCCGGCCCACCAATGATCCCCCATCTTTGAAATTGTTTTTGTCGAGCTCGAGCCCTCTCCTTCTCTTCTTCCGACTTCTGTGCAAAACAGTAAGGACAAGAGACTCCATATTCATACTCTGGGGATTCCATATCCGCATCACTTACAGGCTGCTTACAACCGTAACAGAGCTTGAAATTCCCTTGTGCTAAACCATGCTCGACCGAGACTCGTTTGTCAAACACAAAGCACTCTCCCTCCCAGAGACTTTGTTTCTCTGGAATCTCCTCGAGATATTTCAGAATTCCACCTTCCAGGTGATAGACCTAGAAAATTTTCAAATATAAGTTACAATCATTTTGTAGGCAAATAAAAGATGCAGCTAAATTACTATCTTAGATAAAGGGAAAACCAAATGATTTTTTCTTTAAATAAATTTTGTTCAGCCAAAAAAACAAAATGATTTAATAATTTTTTTGTTTTAAAGGTAAAATCACCTCTTTGAAACCTTGGCTAAGAAGTAGACTTGAAGCTTTCTCACATCGAATACCCCCGGTGCAATACATTGCAATACGCGGTAACTGTTGTTTCATACTCTCTGTCTCCTTTTCAGCACTTTGGTCTGAATGGTTTACATCAACTTTTGGATACTCAGCATCTGTTCTCATAAGCTCGAAACGTTCCTCCACCCAAGATGGGAATTCACGAAATGATGTCGTGCAGGGATCAACAGCTCCTTTAAACTTTCCTATTCTGGTTTCGTAGTTATTTCGCACATCAATTACCACCTGCATATGAAAAATTTTGCATATCTTTTTTATAAAATTTTGCATTTATGGTATTTACAATACCAATACCATTTCACCCACTCCCTAATTTGCTATATGTCAAAGTATCTACTCTACTTATCTATCGTGGCTTCATGAAATTAATTGACTTCTATTCTATTCAACCTCGCATGACTTACAAGTTGCAGTCATAATCAGAAATTACCAATCTTCACAATCCGGGATAGCAGGAAATGGTAATCTGTTCAAATACTGCTACACTATAGCGCAAAATAATAACGGTCTGTTAAGATTATAAAACATTATAGCCACTATTTGACAGCAACACTAAAAACTACAACTTATATTTTAAAATTCTCAGCATTTTATAAAAATAAATGAAGAATACATAACCAGAAGATAAATAGAAAAGTTTTAACATTCCCTAAATTGTTTTTGTTCTTTCAATATTACAGTTTACCAGAGTTTCTCCCATATCTAGCTAAAAAAACCCATTCTATAAATCTACATTTTACATTTTCATTCAGCAATAGTACACAATTAGACCAGAGTATGAAGCATAGATTTGATGCAACTTAAATGTTTAACACTCTCAAGAATCCAAACAATTCAAGACATTGATTGACATCAAAAGTATTATTAAGTCCATGCAGCTAATGAGATCACATAACAGCAGAGCCTCATATTGAAAATAAGCGAACGCTGATAAAGAATAAGAATTAGCTACTCACCGTATCAGGATCACTAATCAGAGAATTCCATTCATTTGGGCCAACGTATTTTCCAACCCTTTCAATAGGTGATATAGTAGGCATCCCAAGAGTGACAATCTGCAAAAACAAAAGGCTCAACTTTGATAAGTTGTCTGTACATAAATTAATATTGACATTTAATATAACGAAGTAGTTCAGTCTTTTGACATTTGTAAAAGTTACCTCTTTCTTCACTTTGACTCTCACATGATCCCATCGGAAAGGCACGTCCTCCCCGGCAGCAAGAGGAGAACTGGAACTATGTCCATCATTATGACCGTGATGTATGGCCTCCTCCTCAGGACTGACAGGTGATTCAATACGTCTTAGTCCCTTCAGGCGCTCATCACTCTGAATAAATGCAAGAACTTTCTCAACCGACTGCCGCGTACCACATAGGCTTCCATTAATTCCTTCAGGCGCAAGAATGATACCACCTGAAACACGCTGAGCAATATCAGATCAGTGAGATGCAAGAATTAGCACATTATGAAGTCACAGGCAGATCAAATTAGTCCTTAATGTACTCTGTAGACCTTGGTTTCAAATTGCAAACTACATGTGTTGCGACAGAAACATTTCAGTTGAAGGCCAATTGTCGCAATGTCAGATCATGATTTTCTACTGCACTAGAAATATGTATTTATTCCCAGCAACTGAAAAAGCATGTAGCTAATGCAGTTACAATATCAAAACTGTTGGATGGAGATACATGACTCAGGTTTGTATTTTACCACAACATATTCAAAAATATACTCAAAACATGAGCTATATTTGATCTTTGCCCAATGATTTTTTGTCTCTTGATTGATTTGACTGCATGATTTTTCAAATGCAGGGAATCCCATGTGTTACATGGGGTTACATGGGGACACAATTACAATACAACCACAATTTAAATATTTGTTATAGAATACAGTCTACACACCGGCCAAAACACGGCCAAAACTTAAAATCTATGTAGCATTGACATTTCAAATTGAAAGCATGTTCATTGCCCAACACTAACACGGCACCTACACTTGTAGTTACATTCAATTATAAAACTTTAACTAATTATTGCCGGTGTCAACATGTCGGTGTCAGTGTTGTGTCGGGTATGTGTTTGTGCTTCATTGCATAAACCTAGCTATACACTATAGTATACACGACCCATTTATGACAAAAGAAAAGATGTAAATTCATATATGTAAATGGTAAACAAACAACCATAACCAACACTAATAATGAAGATGGATTTGACTCCTCTAAAGTGAACAATTCAAATTAAAGGGTAAAATAAGTAATATGAAGATAATTGTTGATATAATACTCATATGCAAAACAAATAATGTACAAGTTAAAATTAATATCTTAGATATCATTAGACGATCCAATAACAACCAAGCCTTATCCCACTAAGAGGGATCGGCTACATGGATCAACTTCCGCTATAATGTTCTATCTAGGACTATGTTTCTCTCCAAATCGTTAATCTCTAGATCTTTTTAATAACTTCTCTTATAGTTTTTCTAGGTCTTCCTCTACCTCTAGATCTTTGACTTCTCTCCGTCTGATCTACTAACCTTACCACAGAGCCTTCTCTCAACATGCCCAAACCACCTAAATCTATTTTCCACCATGTTGGACTATATCTTCTACAAAAAAACATGCATTCCAGTGGTAATTCTTGGATGTGTTTTGTGAGTTCATCCAACATTAGAGGAGCCATATCCAAAAAAAAATTGTACAAACAAATATTGTTTTAATAATAAACATGAGTAAATCTTCAATTTGTTCCATGAACTGTTAATGTGACCAATTTAGTTTCTAAACTATAGAAATGCAATAAACAATATGTAATCTATTCCCAAGAATGTTACACACAATCCCTAAAACTAGTTCATCTATCAAATAGAAGAGAATCATAGGTACCAAATTGAAGTCTTACTCCATGAAAAAAAAAAAAATAATGCATGAACTATAAACCCAAAAGAATAATCATAATTTCTGAAACAAAGATAGAGAAAGTAACAGAATACCAATTCTTGACACAACTGCTTCAAAGGAACACGCAACACAGCATGATCGGGGAAATCCGCGAACTTGTAGAACGAAACCACAACAAGAGAATCTACTACATAATCAGATTCAGAAACTTGGATTGCATTGGTGGATCCAGAGCGAGAGAAGCAATTGGAAATCGTCATGGTTTGAAGAGAGTGGTTGTTGGAGAATAGAGAAAGGCTATTGAATGAGGATTTAGGGTTTAAAGAAGAGTGACGAATTCTCGTTTCAGATGAAGCGGTTGCTGAAGAAGACGGAAAGCTCGAAGTAAGAGTGAGCAATGGTTGAGGAAGATGGGAATAAGGAATGCTCCTGCTTCGAAGCATAGAGGAGAATGCATTCGGATGTGGTTCCATTTTTTTTTCTCTTTTTTTTTTTAATTACTTGCCTTTTTCAAATCCATGGGGCCCGGGTTTTTCGGTGTAGGCCCAAGTTAGTTTGATAGGATGACTACTCTATGCAACTCCATTTGGTTCATAACTTAGTATTTCAATATGATCTCTAATATTACCATGGAATTCACAAACTGATGTACATTTTAGATATGTGCAAATTCATAGGGAGGCAAACATATGCAAAAACATGAGAGGCACAAAACGAGTACGTTTGGGAGGGATGTTATCAAACATGTCAATTTCGCTTAGATCCATCGCGCAAAAGTCTATAAATATATGGGATATATTAGAGGGTGTTGGATGAATATGGTGGTCATAGTCTAGGAAGAAAGTTGTATAGACCAATTTTCTTTATTTAATTTTAAAATCAATGTTAATTTATGAAAAATATATTAGTGAAAATCTTTTGTAGTGAATTTACATAATTGAAAGTTTTGAAGTGAATTTACGCGTTAAAAGGTGGTGCGGACGCATGAATTTTAATAGTTTGAGCATGTTTTTGTTTCTTTTTTCACCAATTTTTACACTAAGTCTTTTTCTTCACTCTTTATAACTTTTCTATGTTTTTTCCACACATTTGCTTTTAACTTGCTCATTTTTATTCCGATTTGTCCTTTTTTTCTTTCTAAGTGACGTGCAATGATAACATGTCATCATAGTCCGTCCACTCTTGTTGAAGCAGTTCTCTCAAGCGGGATTGGTTGGTAGATAATGGTGAGCAGGGTGATCTTACTCCTTTCTTCCAACTTCCTTTTACTCTTCCCTCCCGGGTACCTAGCATTATGGTGGAGTTTGTTGTTATCGTGGCTGTCGAACTTGGATTTCGTCTAGGGTTTATCTGCAACTGATAGGAAGAACCTTTTTCCAGACACTTCCTATACTTTTTTCAGGGTTGGCTCCCTTGTTTCTATTATGTCTGGTGGCCATAACGATGTTCCCTAAAGCCTTTGAGCAGGAAAATTTCGATGTTGGGAAGGAATTAGTTGAGCTTTGGGCAAATGTTGATGCTCTTAGCTCTTTGCAAAAAGAGGTGGATCGATATGATACATCATCTGTTTTGGCTACTCAAATAGAGAAGTTCAAGCTATCCCTTGTTGACGGGGAGATACGTTGTAAGTAGGCTTCTTAGGATGTGGATGAAGCACGTCGGACATTCAAAACGAATCGGAATGATCATCAGCAAAGGAAGGATGGCCTGGCTAATTCCTTGAAGGTTTTCAAGGAAGAGGTGTAGAAGCAAGCTTCAAGCACATTAAAGTTTTGATGAAGATAACAAGCTTTCTACACAACATATATTGTCTACACAACATGTATATGCAAAACGCAAGAGATTCAAGTAAACATCAAGGATCAAGATAGTGCTATAGCATGAGACAATTGGATCAAAGCTTCACATACAAGTTTCAAGTGTTGAAGATGGAATATTGAACATCAACTCAAAGGTATACCAAATATCACTTAAAATACTTATACAAGTGTTCAAATACTCATATCTCACTACACATATATCACAAGTATTTTTAAAACAGTTTTTAGTTGCTCACTCGTTTTAAAATTAATTCTGTTTTGAAAAACCTCCAGTGTTAATCGATTAACCCATATGGTTAACCGGTTAACGGATCTCAAAATTAATTTTCTGGTGAAATTCTTACAGTGTTAACCGATTAACATATATGGTTAACCGGTTAACATGTGTTATTTTTGAATATTTTTAAACGTTAAAAGAGTGTTAACAGATTAACCTATAGGGTTAACCGATTAACACTGAAGCAGTAAGCAAAAATGGCAGCTTCTCATGAAAATATGCATTGCTTTCTTTTTGATTTCTGATTGTTTCTGCTGCATAAATTTACACCCCTCTGTAGAGGTATTTTGTACAATATAAATTGATATCAGATTTCAAATTTTAATTCACCTCGAAGAAACTTAATCATAAAAATCACTCATTCTCTTCATCCTTCAATTTTTCTAAAAGTGTTCACAAACAGTTTTTGAAAGAAGCTTTTTGAATAAATTTTCACACATTATCACAGCTTCATTTCATTCCCTCTTAAAGAACACTTGTATATTTCTTTGAGTGATATTTGTTTCAAGGAGAAGATCTATCGTGAAGATTGATAGCATCATATTCTCAAGACATCAAAATTATTTCAAGATTACTTTCTTTGTATTACCTTGTTGTCCAGGACTGTTGGAAACAAGTGAAGTGTTTGAAGAGGATTGTTCTTCCTACACTTTAGTTACCTATATATTAGATAGTAAGTTTCACCATTGGTGTGATTAGGCTGTACAATCATTCTAAACTATAGTGAAATCTCTTTCGAGTCGAAAGGAGAGTGGAGTACTCTCGGAGTGTGAGGGGAACCACTAAAATTTCTTGTGTCTCTTTTTCTTTTCCGCACTTTACTTTCAAGTCCTTTACATCTTAACCGAAAAAGAACCAAGAACCTAAAAAGATTGAAAATAATTTTTAAGAACCTAATTCACCCCCCTCTTAGGCGCATTTACAAGTTACAATTGGTATCAGAGCAGGTTATAGGTAACATGTTCCTATTCGATCCAGATGGCTTCCGCAAATAACAACCTAGTATACAAAGACGGTGGTAGTAGCAACAAGCCTCCTTTGGTTTGTGGTGAATATTTCGACTTTGGAAGATCTGCATGAAGGCACATCTAGAAGCACAAGGAAGTGAAATATGGGAGGCTGTTTAAAATGGTCATTTTATTCCTACAACGGTCGTCAACAAAGTTGGTTCAGCAAAACCGCAAGGATCTTGGGACGATGATAATAAGAAAAAGGTGCTCTACGACAAAAAAGCAATAAATATCTTGCAAAGTGCACTTGTAATGGATGAATTCTTCTGTATCTCAACATGTACAGCGACCAAGCAAATATGGGACACTCTTGTTGAAACTCACGAAGGAACCGCCGAAGTCAAACGATCCAGATTAAATACATTAAGTCAAGAGTACGAACTATTCAGAATGTAACCAGGAGAATCTATCCTAGACTTGCAGAAATGATTCGTGCATTTGACAAATCACTTGAATGCACTTGGTAAGACACTAACAAATGATGAACTTAATCTTAAAGTGCTTAGGTCCTTATCAAGAGAATGGCAACCCAAAGTGACGGCGATTTCCAAAAAGAAAAGTCTATCAACAATGACATCCGCTACATTATTCGGAAAGCTTCAAGAATATGAGATGGAGCAATTGATGAACTTTTAAGTGAATACAAAATTCTATATAAAACTATTTCATCTCAAAAGAAACAAATATCCACTTTAAAGGAAAATATTGAGAAAATGGAAAATAATTTTAAAGATGAAAAAGAATAATTAATTAAGAATTTTGCATGCACTAAATGTGAGTCACTTTCTTTTTAAATAGTCCAATTAAAAAGGGTCCTAGAAAGATATGAAAAAGGACAAATTGGATTAGAATGTTGTTAGATGCCCAATTTCACTTATTTGAGCTATCAAATATGGGCATCTTTCACTCCTTTTTGTCAAGAAAGTATTCAAAATCGCTCTTACTTTGGTTGGTTTGCAACATATTGTGAAAGTATCTTGGTACCTTTAATTTGTGTGTTATTGTGCAGGAATTAGGCATGAAAGAATGGAAAATTAAGACACAAGAAAGATGGCAAAGAAACCAAGACAGCAAGCAAACAACAGCGAGTTCGCTAGGCGAACTTGCTAGTGAAGCTCCCTCCAAAACTTCACAAAGTTCGCTAGGCGAACTATGTAACAAAGGCTAGAAATCAAGGCACTATTCATAACAGAATGGAAAAGGCCCTAAACTCGCTAAGCGAGGGAGGCAGCGAAGACCTCGCTAGGCGAAGAAGCAGCGAGCAGTCAGCGAACACTCCCAGACTTAGGACAGTGGAGAAAGGGCCATGAACTCGCTAGGCGAGGGAGGCAGCGAAGACCTCGCTAGGCGAATAAGCAGCGAGTAACCAGCAAACACACCCAAACTTAAAACAGCAAGGAAAGGGCCATAAACTCGCTAGGAGAAGTTCACAGCGAAGGATTACTCGCCTAGCGAACATTTGGACACTTGTCTGGGGAGAGTCCACATGGCACAAGTACTTTACGTGGCACTTTTGAGGTTCGCTAGGCGAACCACTTTGTTCGCCTAGCGAACATGACAACTCAGGTGACCCTTCTATAAGTAGCATGGGCTACTTTTTGTAAAAGGATTTTCTTGTACTTGCATTTGAGAGGATTTTTGTGACCTAGAAACCCATTCTTTCATTTCTCATCATCTCTTAGCAACATTTCACGAAAAAAAGGTGGATTCCTATCCAATCTCGATTATTCAACTCGGATGTTGATCAACCTTCTTCCGAAACTTGTTGCTCAAGCTATCATGGAAATAAGTGTCTAAATCCCTCTCTTGTCAAGGTTAGGAGTAGTTAGTTCAGATTTTATGTATTCTTCTTAATCTCTTGTATGTGAACAATGTTATGATCAATGTAGACGAAGTTATTTGCTAATATTTGTACATTTATGGTTTGGATTGCTTTAGACATGAACTTTCCAAGTCTTGACCTAATATCTTCATCTATCAACTATACAAATGCTAGAGATAGATTTGAAAGTTGGTATCCGCTTTGTATCAATCTTAATGATTATTGTTTCGATTATTATTTAGAGAGATCATCTAACGGTCGAAACAATAACATTCACGAAATCGCTTTAGAGATGAACGTTTTTGCGAGGATGCACGGTTATGTTGGTTAGAACTTCGTTCACATATTTGATTGGTTGGATACGTTTAGGACGGACTAGCGAACCCTAATCTTGGCATGCTTTTATCAAACTTAGAACGACTTTTATTTTGTTTTAAATCTTGCGAACTTATGTTACAAAATTGAAATCATTATAAAAACCCCCCTTTTTCTTAAGTCATTAAACCGTTGAACGACAAGCATCTATATTCTCTACAATCCATGT